ATTAAAAGATATATTAATCCTGCAGCAAAATGAATATAAACTAGATGTGATGTATAGAAGGTGCCTGGAACAGACTAAAAGAATTGTGACACAGAGTGCCATAGGGACTGTGTGCAAGTATGCTAATCAGAAGGATGAAAAGGATGTATAGTTGGATAAAAGAAATCGATGAGGGGGGAAAATACAAATAAGAGATTAATTACAAAAAATGAAGACAGGAGAAATAATAGATTATTGCAACAATCTTCATTTTTTTTTCTTTAGTTCATTCCTGTCCAATTCTCGGTCACTGTCTGGACAAGTCCCTGCAGTATTCTTGGCAAGGTTTTTCAGAAGGGGTTTGCCATGGCCTCCTTCCAGGAGATGAGAAAAAGAGATTGGCCCAAGGTCACCCATCTGGCTTCACAGCTAAGGCAGAGCTAGAACTCATAGTCTCCTGGTTTCTAGCATGGTGCCTTAACCATTACACCAAACTGGCTCTCGGCTTTTTCAATCATACCATTTTTATACCATTTTTATATTTGCTATAGAAACTGCAGCCTAACTAACATATCTCTTTTGTTTATTTATTCTGAAATGCAATGAGTCATTAAAAAGCATTATCAAAAGTAGCTGGGCAACAATCTTTTCTAGTTGCTTCTCTTGTTTGAAAATCTGAACCTGTGAAGAAATCTTTGTTCATTAGAGTCCCCATTCCCCAGTTTATAGTTTGAAATCAATATTTAAAAATAAATGTTTTCAGACAATGAATTATTTCTGTTGAGGAAATTACTCAGTAGATTTTGGCTCTATAAGTATATACTGATCTTTACAGTATATACTTTTGAGGTGCTTTCCTGTAGCTAAGAAAAAAAATATAAGTTCTAGGCAATGTCAAGTTGATATTCTTGGCAATTGAAATTCTTGATTTGTTTTCAAGACTATTGGAAAAAGCCCAACTGAGAGTCAGGCTCCCTTAAGCACTCTATACAGCCTTAGTAAGACCACACCTAGAATACGGCATCCAGTTTTGGTCACTACACTATAAAAAAGATATTGAGACTCTAGAAAAAGTGCAGAGAAGAGCAACCAAGATTATTAGGGGACTGGAGACTAAAACATATGAAGAACGGTTACAGGAACTGGGCATGGCTAGTCTACTGAAGAGAAGGACCAGGGGACACATGAGAGCAGTGTTCCAATATTTGAGGGGCTGCCACAGAGAGGAAGGGGTCAAGCTATTTTCCAAGGCACCTGAAGGCCAGACAAGGAATAATGGATGGAAACTGATCAAGGAGGGATTCAACCTAGAATCCAGGATAAATTTTCTGACAGTGAGAACAATCAACCAATGGAACAGCTTTGCCTTCGGACGTTGTGGGAGTTTCATTACTGGAGTCTTTCAAGAAGAGGTTGGACTGCCATTTGTCAGAAATGATGTAAGGTCTCCTGCTTGGGCGGGGGTTGGACTAGATGATCTACAAGGTCTCTTCCAACTCTGTTAATCTATTAAAAAAAAACTGTCCTTCCAGTCTGTGTCAGCTGTTTGTCTAGTGAAAAAGTCATCTGCTGTGTGGTGAAAGTCATCTGCCACATCTGAGGACTTGCTTGTCTCCCTTTATTCTTCTTCAGAGTAGCTAGGCTAAAATGGTTGTTGTTGTCAATTTATACAATAGGGCTGTTTTCAGAGAATGGTGCTGCTGACTCAGAATTCCTCCCAATTATGAATACAGAGACAGGAAGAAGGCTTTTATTGCAGCACTGACCATATTCAAATTTCTAATGGAGTTTTCATGGAGTTTTTGGTTATTTCTGTGTTTTCTGTGATTGTTAGATTCTCCTGATTATTTTTAAAAAGCCAATTATGTTTCCTAAGCACAATAGATGGTTCCTCTGGGAGTGTACATATTATAAATGCCCCAAATACATGATGTTCAAACCATTGATCAATTTAAAAAATATGTGAGGTTCTCATGAAACCTTAAACAACATATTTAAATTGAATTATCGTAATACATTGTAATACATTACCACTGTCTTCTCCAATGACCAGTTAGAGAGAGCGTGAGTATTTATACAGTCCTTCAGAGTGTGATATCTGTTATACTGTAAATTAAGAATTCCTTTATGTGTCTGAAGGTCTCTTAAACTAGGTTATGGTATATTTTCTCCTATAGGAATATATATATATGTCAAGTTCTTCCACTCTGTCATTAGAAGTTGAATTTGACATTAAACAAGGCATGTATTCACTTGATCTGCTTTAGATTTCCAGAAGTATGTTACCATTTACAGCTCCAGGGCTGATAAAAATTAGGCCCTGCATAAGAACATTTCTATAGCGAGTGAAACAAAACTTCTGTGACCAACTTTGTTTCTTCTTTCAATATTCTGCGATGTTAATATTCTAAGGCTTGTATTTTTGAAAAACGGATGCTTAATTTTAGTTTCCCTCATTTTGAGGGAGAAAGGTGTATTTATACATAACGTTTCTTGTGAGAAATGATACAATCTAGACTTGTTCCAATTAATCCTACTTTCTTCCAATCTTACTTATTCATCAGAGCTTTGCTAATTTTTGCTTTGTAGATTATAGACAACTAGAAAGCAATGCTTTTGTTCTAGATGTTGGCTGAATTTGAGATAACCTCTTTATCCCTAGGTCTAATCTATGGCAACAGCACCACCAGAAGGCTGTTCTTTGTCTATCATTTATCTTTCTTGTTTAGAATGTACGCTTTGTATATTTTTGATATAAATATTCATATTTATGTACAGAGTTACTTTGACCTTCCTCCTGTACTAGCCTGGCTTCAACCATATGCTACTGTGGCATGATTATCCAATGTCCTTCTAGTTTTGTTGTAGCTTTAATAAAATTGGATGGAGGAAAGGGATTTTCTCTCAAGCTACAAAGGCTCAGAATTCCTATAGGCAAGCAAGCAGGGGCAGATGCTTACATACATTAATAACAACAATGCACTAAAGCTGTACTCTGCAGTCAAAAATAGTTTACCAAAAAATGAAATGTAGTAACTAGGTGTGTCAGGAAATATTACTGAAATATAAATTGTTTAGCAGATGCTCCAAAAGATATAACAGCTTTGAGAATTACATATTATTCTGCTTAGCTGTCAAGTATAATACACTTTTTTAAAGTGACTGTTTTGCATCAAATCCAACCCTGGAATTTGCAAAGAAGGAAGGGAATTGAGGAAAGAAGAGAATGAGGTAATCTCCTTACACGTTCAGGAGCTAATCAATTTATTTCCAGCTGTGGTGCATCTAGAAGCATTTCAAGTCTGATTTTCCACATACAAAACAGTGATGTTCCAAACACATTGGAGATAAGCCATTTTCTTCAGGGTAGGATTTTTTTTTTAATACTTAAATCTTGGTCAAAGACCAGTATCGAATGAAACAAAGAGCATACTCTTTAAAAGTAAAAGAGGAGGACCAAACATAAAACACAAACTAAAAGAATAATACAAAATATTTCTGTCATTATTTTACCAAAATAAATAATTTTTTGGGAAACTGTGTTTCTAGGCCCTCCTCCCTACCCCACCCCACCCAAAAAACCCTGAATATTTTTTGTCTGAAATTAAGGGCCACCTAATGAGAAGGAAGGACTCACTGGAGAAGAGCCTAATGCTGGGAAAGATGGAGGGCAAAAGAAGAAGGGGACAACAGAGAACAAGGTGGCTGGATGGAGTCACCGAAACAGTTGACATGAGCTTAAATGGACTCCAGAGGATGGTACAGGACAGGAAGGCCTGGAGGAATGTTGTCCATGGGGTCGCAATGGGTTGGACATGACATTGCAACTAACAACAACAAGGCAAAAAGCTAAAAATCTAAGACAGGAGTGGATTAAAGTAAAACAGAGTGATGTGACAGCTATCTGTATACATATTTAATAGTGTTCAAAAGTTAGGCCAGCTATTTTAAATTAAGGGATGAAGATTGATCAGCTTTAATCTTTGCTTACTAGCAGCATAAGAAAATATGGCAACATCCAGGAGCTTAAAGCCTGTTTGATCAGAAAGCAGAATTTATATATAGAAATCAGAGGTTAGAGTGACAGAGAAAACTACTTTTACCAGGTATGGGGAAATAAAACAGATTCTAATATTGATATAATATCAGAAGTACAGTAAAAATGTGGGCAAATGATTCTGTGGTGCCTGTAACACAATAGACATAATCAATCAGCAAATAAAATTGTTTTGTATCTGCTTTTCAAAATGGCCGACCATTAAATCAGGCCAGTGTTAAAGCCTTCTCAGCTTGGATGCTGTCATGTTTTTTAAGTATTTTGCTGGTCTAAACATACAGCTGGAAGCTCAGGAGTACATTTCTGGGATATGCTAGGAATTTTCTCCCTGGGGCTCTCCTCCTTTCCCACAGAGGTTCAGCCAGAGTGATGCTGAACCTCTATGGGGGAAATGCTATCTTCCACCATTCATTGTTCTGTTAAATTTGGGACATGAAGCATAATGGCATGGCATTTAAATCCTTTTAACAAGTGTACTAAGCACTATTATTTATTACAACTCACTAAACAAAGCATAGAAGGTGGTAAGTGCTGTTTGAGTGATATTTTTATGCTCTCATGTTGATCAGTTATTTCTGAATCAGCTGCGTGAAGGACAATTGAACATTGAACTGATTTGAAGTGTTTCTGAGGTTTTGGAGAGTGAAACCTGTATGCAAGGAGATGCTTACCCATCACAACCTCGTGTCACAGTTTCATTCAATATAAAAATATATTACCTTAACTGACAATGTGAATTTATATTATACAGATGGGCACCTTGCTATCCTACCATATTTCTACCAATCTCTTTGGGGAATTTTTGGAACTAAGAAAGTAATTTATTTTTACTTTTTGTAAGAATTAAATATACATAATATACTACCGTACTTTGTAAATAGCTAATTACAGTTCAGATTTATGTACATTGAAAGAACACAAGCCAAATCATTGTTTGACTCCTTATTTCTTGTATCTTTCACAGCCTGTTAATCAAGGAGGTCACTATCAGAAAGAAATGAACCCTCTTTCTCAGTCCAACCCAAGGTAAGTTGCTGTTTACAGCTCAGGCCAAACCGATGTGTTGAGAATATGGGAAGAACCAGTCAGTGTAACTTTTCTTTTGTATGCTCTTAAATTTTACTGCCAGTTTCTCCATCTTAAAAAGAAATATGTATTTCCAGCCTTGACCACACTTATACTCACGCATAAGTAGAAACCTGAGGAATGGAAATGATTGCTGATATGTGGCTCAGCAGTTGAGTGTATTTGGACCAGTGAATTCATTTTTTAGTAACCACAAAAAACAGCAGTGTCCACAGACTGGAAACAAATAAATTGGAAAGCATTTATCATCGCAAGTCCTGGAATTCAGAAGTGGCTGTGTTGAACCTACAACAGTGCTTTACTATCTGTTTTGTACTCCTATGTCTTGAAAGTAGTTTCAAGAATTCAGTAATGCTCCCCTTAGAAAAGAGGCAAAAATTGAAAAACATTGAATTTTTTCCCATCTTATCTGAACTGAAGCTGATTTCTTAACTAAAGAGATTGTTTTCTTAAGCACAGGCTAAAGTGGAATATCTACCTGTGGGACACTCTCATAACTCAGGCTTTCTTCCATAGGGCAAGGGCATTGTGTCCCCTTTTCTAGATTACCTAAGAGACAGATCTTCAAATAATCTCTTGACAAAACAATTGCTATGGCTATTAGAAAACCCTTTTAAAAAGCTAGCCCAAGGAAAACCTGGCTTTAGGAACAAAAAGCACTTTGTACAAAGACTTCAAAATTAAGAAAATCCTTGTCCTTTATTTATCTTTGCTGCAAGAATTTTTCCAAATTAGTGTTAAATTGTTCTACGATTTTTTTTAATTTAATCTGATGATAACGGGGGAGGATAAATTTACAGTGCATTGCTGAAGACAGCAGCATGTTCAGTGGGCTTTAGTACTGGCTGGACCTCAGTTTTTGCTGTGTAGAAAGCTTGTTGGCAGCTGCCTAAAACCAAAATTAGTTCTTTCCAAACATAACTCTCATAGCATCTGTTTAGCAATATTATTAAGAAGATAAGAGTGGGCTTATAAGAATTCCAGCAACTGAATTAATTTCTGTATCCATGGATAGATGATGGTAAATACACCATGATTTTTTTTAAGAGCCTTCCTGTGATTGACCCAGCTTTCCATACATAATTAAATCAAAGTTACCTTTTTGTAATAGCAGTTGACATATTGTGTCTATTTTCCATGCTCTTCTTTCCCTGAAGTCTCAAACCCTTTTTTGTTCTGTCAGGTTCTTAAATTAGAATAGCTTCTAAATCTGCTTATGGACATTCTTACTCATTGGCATTGCCTCTTTTTGATGGTCTTCCTCAAAAACCTGCTTTGTTTGATTAGATAAACTTCCTTCTTCTCTCATCACCTGAGATGTGGCTACTCATTGCTCCAATCTTCTAGCTTTTTCTTCAGACAAATGTATAAAATGCTGGCGTTTTCTTTGAATTGAGCACAATGTTAGCAACAATAGGGAAGTGATTAATTTCTTCTAGTTTTGTAGTAAGGGTCCAAACATACCACAACCATTACAGATCGCAACTGAAAAGTTATTTTTCTCCAGTGGTTACTTTTGCATTTTTAAGCACTTTTTTTTTTTTTTAATTTGATTTATATGCCTTCTCCAGAGACTCAGGGCGGCTTACAATGCGTTAAGCAATAGCCTTCATTCTTTTGTATATTTTATACAAAGTCAGCTTATTGCCCCCACAAACTGGGTCCTCATTTCACCTACCTTAGAAAGGATGGAAGGCTGAGTCAACCTAGAGCCTGGTAAGATTCGAACCAGCAGAAATTGCAGGCAGCTGTGTTAATAACAGGGTGCACTAAACCACTGTACTATCAAGGCTCACTTGGAGAACTCTTATCTCTGACAGTTTCTTTCTTAAATTCTAGGATTAGCTAACTAGAAGGTATTGATGTCAAGGAAAAGGACTCTCTCTTTAACACAACTACCAAACTCCAGTAAGAAATTCTTGCTCACCTCACCATCACCTCCCAAATTCAGAAATCTAGACGTGCAGCACTTTACTGACCTTTGGTGTTTGGAAGAATGACAAGAAAAGGGAAGAATTTCATCTTTAGCCATATGTAATCTGATTCCATGCAGATGATCTGTAGAATCATAGATTTGTTGAGGGGAAGGAAAGTAGGGCAAATGACTCACTAGCCATTCTTCCCTACAAACCAACCCATTCCACCTCCAGTGGTACTAGAGAATCCGATGCATGACACATAACCTTTTTGATTCATGTCCAGTGGTCCTCTGGAAGACCACTAGACCCCTGAAAATACACACCAGTGTATTGTCTGGGCAGATTCTCAGTCATGAAGGTCATGGTTGTCCCAAAAGTGCTTTTTTTTTCCAAGAGGGAACTGGACTTTCTGGTTTTTCTTTGAAGACAGAAGCTGAAGAAGCTTCTTGGATGAGAAGCGAAACATCTTCAAAGAAAAACCAGAAAATCCAGTTGCCTCTTGAAAAAAAGCACCTTTGGGGCACCAGTGTATTATGCTATAGGGTTATAGTGACCTAGCAGTTAAGACACTGGGCTTATCGACCAAAAGATTGGAAGTTCGAGATTCAAGTACCACATGACGGGATGAGCTCCCGTTCTTTCCCCAGCTCCTGCCAATCTAGCAGTTCAAAAGCATGCAAATGCAAGTAGATAAATAGGTACCACTTCAGTGGGAAGATAACAGTGTTCCATGCACCTTTAGCATTATAGCCATGCCGGCCACATGATACCGGAACCATCTTTGGACAACACTGATTCCCTTGGCTGGGAAATGGAGATGAGAACCACCTCCAAGTGTCAGACATGACTGGACAGGGGAAATCTACCTTTTTTATATATTATGCTATACATGTATCTGAACCATACGAGAGCAGCCTAACCACAAGGGGTGGTTATCTAAAGAGCCACTCTTAACTCTCACACTTCTCTTGCCTTCCAGGAAGCAGGGAAGAGAAGGGAATGAGAAGAAAGTAGGTCTTTTGCCAATAAGTATCTTACTTGTTTCTCTCCAACCCCACCTTGCCCTGCAAACCCTGCATGAGAAGAGAAATATTGAGGGTGTTCTTTAGCTCTCCCAATGCAAGAAAGCTGCAGTTCCTGACAGGTGGGGCAGGGCTGGAGGAGGGGTGTAGTAGTATCAAAGAGCCCCTTGCCCTACTTCTCTTTGTGCCCACCCATCCTTCTTCCTATGGATCAGGTGCTTCACTGCTTCTTCCATGCAGAACTAGAAAGCTTTAAGAGATATAGTTACCTGCTTTATTGGACAAAATACACAACCTCCAAAATGGGTTGTACATTTTTATTGGTACAGTACTTGATCCATGAAGATTCTACCCAGACAAGCAGGGTTGCATTGCCTATTTTATCACGTAGATGTGCCCACAAATAAACACATGTAGATGAGTTAGCCGAAATGGACATTTTGACAACTGATGTAACCATTTTTCTCTCCATAGGGAGAGCAATTGTTAGTTGATTTTCCTACCAGCAGGGAATCCATCAATCATTTTCCTTAAGTTGTCCCGCTTTATATGTGGGTGGACAGCACCAGTTGTTACCTTATTACTGAAACACAATATGACCTACCGATGCAGGCAGTGCAAAGCATATCAGCACATATTTCTGCCACATCAGATGGACTGGAGGAAAGCATATTGACACTGCTATGGAGAAAAGCCCCAAAACGCATCTATATTCACAGCAAGCATTCCTTATTGCCCAGAAGTATGTAAACCAACCAAAAGAATCTTATCCTTGTCTACTCAGTGTCGATCCATTTATTCTCATGCTTGCTTTGTTTTATTATATACCTTTCTTAATGCATACAGTAACCAACCTTCAACTTCATACTCATAAAAATATTCCATAATTCAAGCCAATTAATTGTGTCCTTCATCTAGAACAATAAGCATTCTTATATTATTGGGAAACACTCAGCCAGGCAAGGAAGAGGAATAGCCTTGGTGGTGCAGCAGACTAAAGTACTGTTAAGTAGCACCAGCTGCCTGCAATTACTGCAAGTTCAAATCTCACCAGGCTCAAGGTTGACTCAGCCTTCCATCCTTTCGAGGTAGGTAAAATGAGGACCTGGTTTGTGGGGGCAATAAGCTGACTTTGTATAAAAAAGAACACCGCTTAGGGGGAGCCGAAAGTCCTACTAAGCAGGTATATACAAAAGTATGAAGGCTATTGCTTAACACATTGTAAGCCGACCTGAGTCTCCGGAGAAGAGCGGCATATAAATCGAACCAATAAATAAATTAAATCAATAAATAACAGAATAGCAGGGTTGGAAGGGACCTTGAAGGTCCTCTAATTCAACCTTGTGCAGCCACAAGAGGTCCAGGACTGGCCCCCACCTCAAACTCCAGAGAGCCTTATTAGTCTGCTGCCAAGGGAAGGCAGGCAATCTGGGGAAACTCCTGTAAAATAGGCAAAATATAATAAAGTACTTAGCTTGTGCTCTATATGAACCTACATGGATCTGGTTCCTTGCACTGGACATGCATCCATTTACATTCATTCTCATGGGTAACAATTTCTGATACTTTTTCATATAAGACACTCTCAGCAGTCATCCAACTTTCACTTCTTTTCTTTTCTTCCATGCCAAATTTTCCCTTTTTTCCATGCCTGTTTTCTCCTATAACCCATGACCATTTTGCCCAAAATCCATTCTCCTAAAATCCACCCCCCAAAAATTATCTCTCCCCCTATTGATAACCTCTCTTCATTTATATATCCTTCAGAAGCTGTTATTGACAAGGGATTGGCCCTCACTAGCAAGAAGCAATTGATCAAATATTTACTTAGTAGTAACACATTATCTTCAATTTAATTAATAGATTCTTATGTGTTTAAGAAAAATTATTAAAAATTAAAATTTATCTTAATGAAAATACAAACACCAAGATCCACACACTTTAAAAGACTTAATTTCATTTTGAGATACACAAGCAATCTATAAAATACGTCACTTGC